GCAGAGTGTCAGGCACTTTTGATTGTCATGCATGCAGTTCCATCGACAGGTTGACGAGCTGAGGATGGTCCGAGTACATTGAATTGTGAGCGAGTGGCATTTTGGGAGCTGTTCTTTCTGGATTTGTCAGCTCCTGCTGCTGCTCGAGCGATTTATCCGCAATTAAATGTGCACACTCTCAGTTTTGTGTTCTTCACATAATTTTTGCATCATTTATTTTAAGCGTTGAGCACAGCTTCTAAGTGTGGCCATCCTGTCATCCAGTCGGAGCTACCGCTAAGCTGGATCTGACGAGCAGGCAACAGGCCGCCTCCTCCTCCTCCATCCTCATTCATTCTTGCCATATTTTATGCTTTCGCTCACTTTCTGGCACATTTTCTTCCATATTTCCCTTTGTTTGTTTTTATTTGCTGCTGCACGCGCTGGCTTTGAGCTCTTGCAGCTGCCACTGCCAGTGGAGCTCCTGCAGCTGGACGCAGATTTTCAGTTTCTGTGCTTTCCGTGTCGTTATGAATAATGAGTTCTCTTGGTGCGATGCAATTTTCGCCTTAACCCTCGCCCGCTCATTGCCGGGACTCGATTTAATTAAACTCCGTAATGAGTTTTCTGTATCGCAGCTCAATCAATCGGGGCTGTAGCAAAATTGAACCATTTAAATGGCACGCCGGCATTGGCATTGTCTTGCAACCGATTACACATTGTCTACAACAAAGAACTTGTTACACCCACAGAGATTTTAGCCAAAAGACAAAAGTACAAGCATCTTCCAGCATCTTACATGTTCCAGTTCAGTTCAGTTGCGAGTTCATTTGCCTGCCCTGCCAAGTTGCCTGCGAAATGCATTTTTGCCGCATCCGCAATTCGTTTTGCGGTCTCCACACTTCCATGGAGTCTGCCAGTGCCCGCTCTGAAGACTATATAGAGGAGTAAATATATATGCATATATATATTCTCTCTATTTGTTTGGCATTCCTAGACACTCTCTCCATGGATGCCTCACTCTGGCTTGTGTGGACTCACGAGAGTGCTGCACGCTGTGAACAGAGTTGGAGTCCCTGTCTGCTCTATGCCAAAAAGTAAACAATTTGCACAAAGCATTTCACATGTTGGCAGACTCTTTTTTGTTTGAAAGTTTGATTAACAGTTTCTCCCAGCTGTCCGCCGCCTGCTGGCGATGACTTTCTCTTTGCTAGAATTATGAGCAAAGGTAAACTTGCTTAAAGTTTGAATCGACGCTTTAATGTAAATAAACGCTGTCTGACACGCACACACACATGCAGGCGAAGGCGAGGAGCACAGAGTCTGTTGCCATTTAATTGCATAATGACCGAGAGCTGGCATTTAATCAGCTCGTTTGTCAACAAAGTGCATATATCAGCAGAGACGGAGAGCAGAGAGCAGAGAGCGGGAGTTGGTGGAGTTTCCTCCGCCGTACGATGATTTGCTCGCCTTGTCAAACGCTAAACTAATTACGTATACGCAATGTGATTATGAGCTTGCAGCTGATTAGGCTACTGTTGTAGCAGATGGGTGACTGGGTGGCTGGGTGGCGGGGTGATGGTAATGCGCCGTAAGCTGTGGTGCAAGACCCAACCAGCCCATTTAACAGCTGTCGTAAGCCACCGTAATGACCCAAGCGAACCGCCTCGAGGGCGGGCAGTAAAAACGAGCCAAGTGCCCGTGAACGTTGTTCAAATATTTGTTGACATATTGCGGATTTAAAATGATTTGTGGCTGCCAATCCCCGGGAATTAAACAAATACATTTGAATAATGTCTGGCAATCAGCAAACAAAACGCAAGACTGATTGCCGGCAATAAAAATGGACCATAAAAAGCGATAACATCATATTTATAAGCGGCTCTCTTGGCGCCCAGCTCAGCGCGGTCCAAAATCAAGACATCCCTTCCTGTTCCCATCCCTCGTCAGCAGCCGCTACCCAAGAAGCTCCCAAGGCGGCGGAAAGCGTTGAAAGCGATTATATGCGTAAATATAAAAATGGCAAGAAGACAAATAAACGACAATAAACGGGGCAGCCGAAGTATTCCCAGCCCACCCACCAGTCTCCATTCCACCCATCAAAAATAAAACGCAAAAAATGGCCAACAAAAAAGATGGGGCCCATAAAAACGAAAACAGAAGAAAAGGCCAGCGCCAGCCTGGTCCAAATCATCTTACAGTGGAAGCGAAACGAATTTTGTTCACAAATATGTTGCTGATTTTGATGCTTGTTAAAATTGAAGATAAAATAAATTAATGATCAATTTCTTGCAATTTTAAAAGAAGTTATGTCTAAAATGTAGTGGCTGCTATCTAAATACTCCTTAGAACTATTTAAACACAAATATTGCCAAAGAGCAGTAGTAAAAGTTGATTTTTAACTATTGTTTTGCCTAAACAGCCCCACAGTGCGTACAGTTTATTTGCGGACAATGCCGAGCATCGAGTAGGCAGCACGTCTGGCCAAAAAGTTTTCTTTTGTGTGTGTCCGCTTTGTTTATGACAACCATTTGGTTTGTGGAGGAGACTGCCGAGATTAGGCTGGGGAAAATGGCAAGGTAAAAGCTGCTCTCGGCCAGGCCCCACCCTTCTGAGGCTCTCTCCTTCTCCATCTCTCTGGGGCATTCAGGACTCGTTGCTAATGCGGCCAAAGACGTGGCAAGTGTACGGCTCCAGATATTTTTGCATTTGCACTTTGAATGCGCTACATTGGCGGGCCTTTAAATGTTAAGCTGCAACCATAAAGCCTTAAAGGACCATCTGAGCAGCCAAAAGGTATACCAAAAACCTTCTCGTGGAGCAGCTCACACGCACGGCCAAAAAAAGTGACTGTCAAATTTGCTTTACGATGTGTTTTTTGATGTTGGTTTTGTGTCGTTATATTTGTCTTTTTTTGTGTCGTGAGTTTTAGAGGGTATTCTGAGTCGTACAAGAATTATTGAGGCTGCAGTCTGGGTAGTATATTTGATATGCAAATTGGAAGGTTTAAGCTCAGAATGAACTAGCAGATATTATGGCACATCCTTTGTCAAAGTTTTCATATCTTTATTACGTTTTCTTCAATGCGAGGTATCGAAAAGTTTAACCTCCGGCCACAGTTCCCCAGTGCTCGCTGCACGTCCCATAGAAAGTGGCTGCCACTTTTCAGTGCCGGCATTTCGCTGCCGCGTTTTGTTTGCACAAAGCGCAAAGCCAAAAGGCGGTTTAGGACTGCCAATGCTGGACGGTGGGTGGAGGGATGTAGGGGTGGGCGAAGTGGACGTGCCGCCGTCGAGCCTGATAAATTGAATGGTCAGCTGCGTTTGCATAAAGAGCAGGGCAGCAGCAGCAGCAGCAGCAGCAGCAGCAGCAGGTGAGCACCGGCCAGAGCCCTTTGCTTAGGCTGGCCAAACAGAATTTTCAACAGCACATCCTGAATGGAACTCTGACTGATTGCCAGGTGCCGAGCGAGTCCCAGTCAAAAGTCATGTGAGCCATGTTGACACAAGCGGCAGGCAAAAACGAATCTCGAAAAAAAGACACTCGACAGCAATATCAATAGAAAAATGGAAGAACAGTGTTAAATTGACCATATTTTATTGGGGGGCAGGAGGGATAAGTTGACAGGCCAGCTGGTGTGATCACAGAACAAATCTCAGCGAGGATGGAAAGCTGCTCATTAAATTGCAGAACATAAAAAGAATACAAACATTTAAATGGCAAAAAGCTGCAGAATGCAACCTGTCCGGCAAAATTGAAAAAGACCAAAGAACCCGCCCTGAAAAATGGTGAAAATGGAGAAAAAAGAACGTACAGACTAAACGAGACGAAAAACGTGCTAAAACGTAAATCAACAGCGAAAATCGTGTTGAGCATTTTTCGTAGCTGAAAAGGCATAAACAGCAGCTGCTACAGGACAGGGACAAGGATCAGGGTAGGGGAAAGTGAAGTGAAGTGAAGTAAAGTAGAAAACTGGCAGCAGAGAAGCATACAACAGAAGGAGGAAGAGCAGAGAGAATGGGAGCTGTGGCAAGCAACTTTTCCAGTTGTCCAGCTGCAAAAGGAAGAGCCACTGAGGGAATGCGAGCGGAGAGCGTAATTCAATATGCGGCGCCGTGTTAAAAGCTGTAAAAATGCTTAAGCGTTTTCCAATTTACCAGTTTTATTTTACGGACAGCGTTTCGAAGCGCTCTGCGAAAGCGAATGCGATTTGCTGCTAACTCAAATTTCTTAAATGCTTGTGGAACACTCATTTGTAAAGTGTCTGTCTGTCCTGCAGCTAGAGGATTTGTCTGCAACTAACGAATATTGGCACGGACTGTCTGTCCGACAAAGTCAAAGAGCAAAGTGACAGGGAGCAAAATTAACTTTCAGGGTAACAATTTTAATGCATTAGGAACGAGTTTACAATTATTTGATGGCTGAAAATACTCGAACCGAGCCACCATCGAGGCACCACTTAGGTGTCCGGAAAACTTTTTTATTGAAAATATTCGCACAGCGAGTATTTCTGCTGCCACTCCTCGCTGAGCAGCAGCGTTCACCTTTTCCGAATGCAACTTTTGTGCCAGGAAAAACAGGAAAAGTTTGGCGCTGCAGCTAGAGGGAAAAGTGCCAACGCAGCCGAAAAACAATTAAACTTGAACTTTTGTCATAAAATGAATGGAATAAATGCAACTAAAAACAACACACAAAAACCAAAACTGAAAGCACAGCGGGAATTTTGTGCAGTATCAGCAAAACATGACGACAACCAGCAGCCTGCAGACAGTCGGACAGTCGGACAGCCGGGCTGCTGGGATGCTACCAGGACCATGAACAGACATTCCTTGTGCCCGTCCAAGTTTCTGGCTTGGCTAATTAATTTTTATTTATTACCCATATGAAACTGGCGCCCCAAAAGTGTTGCTCCAATTAAATTATTTTGCCGGACAACTGCCGGCAGTGAAATTAAATTAATTAAATGCTCTAACTCGGTTCTTCCTTTCCTTTCCGTTTCTTTCCTTTCATTTCCATTGCAGGCAAACACACGCGCCTGGATACCCAGCAGACGGCACAGGAAGGTAATTAATATGGTGACTCGTTTCGTTTCCCCTCTGTCGCCGCTTCATTGGGGTCGTCGCACATGGGAAATGGGACACGGGACACGGGACGTATGCGCAATGTGCCGCAGTGCAGTGCAGTGCAATGCCTTGAGGCAGGGGAAGGGAGGGAAAGGAAAAGGAAAAGGGTTCTCAAGCGGAACCCAGTGAATGTCAAAGCATAAGCTGGCAAATATGTGTGCACTTTTTTCTTTGCCATTCGCCCTCGGGCTCAGTCCTCAGTAGCAGGAAACTTTTAAGCAAATTAAATGAATCCTGCATCGCTGCGCTTGTATCATCTCTGTGAGTGAATCTGAGTATCTTTTTGTATTGTTTTGCAGACGCGGACTTTCCGCGTTTCGCGGAGCCCATTGCCAATGTCACCGTCTCCATTGGCCGCGACGCCCTGCTGGCCTGTGTCGTGGAGAACCTCAAGGGCTACAAGGTGGCCTGGGTGCGTGTGGACACCCAGACGATCCTGTCCATACACCACAATGTCATATCGCAGAATAGTCGCATCAGCCTCACCTACAACGACCATCGATCGGTGAGTTTGGGCACCAATTACCCACCATTTTCCATCTCACCTCTCAAGCTGCTCCTTCCCTCAGTGGTATCTGCACATCAAGGAGGTGGAGGAGTCGGATCGTGGCTGGTACATGTGCCAGGTCAACACGGTAAGCAGCTCCAGATAAATTAATAAATTAAACAAGCTTACAAAATTCTCCTTTCGCCTTTCGCCTTTCGCCCGGCAGGATCCCATGCGTTCCAGAAAGGGCTACCTCCAGGTGGTTGGTGAGTATTGAACTACACATTCGACCCAGGGGTCAATGGCAAATGACCGATTGGCTGCCCTTTCTCTCCCCACAGTTCCCCCAATGATTGTCGAGGGCATGACCAGCAACGATATGGTCGTGCGCGAGGGTCAGAATGTCTCGCTGATGTGCAAGGCACGCGGCTATCCGGAGCCCTATGTCATGTGGCGCCGCGAGGATGGCGAGGAGATGCTAATTGGCGGGGAGCACGGTAAGCGCACGCATCCTGCCGCTTTCCACTCGGTCATGGCTTAATGCGGTTTCCTTTTTCCACCCCACCACCAACCCCACAGTGAACGTGGTCGATGGCGAGCTGCTGCACATCACCAAGGTGAGCCGCCTACACATGGCCGCGTATCTGTGCGTTGCATCAAACGGAGTGCCGCCCTCGATTAGCAAGCGAGTCCATCTGCGTGTGCAATGTGAGTAAATGTCCGTAGCCCTAGTAACTAGTAAACCAAGCGAGAGCTAGACACTTAAAGATCCACACAAGGGAGTGTCTAGAAACCAAGAAACATTTGATACATAAGTGGCCATAAAATATAATAAATTTACATGCAAAATTGTACAAGTTGTGGCATTATTTTGGATATTTTTATTCCTTATCTGATTGGGATTTCTAGTTGAAAATAAATACATTTGGAAGTGCAGGCTCAGCCGCTTTGGGCTACGATTCATTTGTTAACTCTGTGTTCTCCCTTTAATTTATCCCTCTATGATGAACAGCCTCTGGGGCTTTGCAATATTTAATGCCTCAGCATATGGTGACAATATGATAGCTCTTAACGAAACCAATTTAACACTTTGAACCAGTTCCATGCATCAACATTTCCATTGTTTCTGGTGTTGCTGGGGCAACGTTGGCAAACTCCGGAAACGCCAAAAATAACGAAAAATCCATTTTGGGCTCAACTCTTATGCAATATTTATGGTCCGTGCAGCAGGCGAGGGAGCGAGGAAGTAAGGGACCTGCTGGACGATGAGCTAAAAGGAAACATTCACCAACGTGGCTTGGGGATGGGGCAGTGAACGCTCTGTTTAATGCGTAAAATACACAAAACAAGGCTGAGGCTGGCAGTTCCTCTCTCTGTGTTGTGCCCCATTGCATGTTGCCACTGCAGTTTTTGGGGCAATAACCGCAGTTGTGTGTGTGTGTGTGGTGTGGATATGCTCTTGGTCGAAAATCGACCAAAAGCTTCTGTCACGTTAAATTAATTTACCTGTGAGCCTGTTTGGTCGTGCGTGCTAAAGATGGACAAGGGACGGGAGTCCATCAAGGCTTTCTTCAGGCGTCGCTAAGCTAATTGGAGGATAGCATTGGACCACTCATTACTCAAGGCCCGAAACGTATCCATAAATGTAACCCTTTATAAATTCAATAATCGTGAGTCACGCTCACGTTCCCCATCCCTAGCCACCTCCCAGCATCCCCTACTGCTGATGCTCTGTGCTCATTTCCGAGCTGTTTGCAGGCGTTTTGTTTGTCTGTTTGTCAGCCAGGTGTTATTTTGTGCCCTCGTGATGTGTGCGTGGCCAAAATGCGTTCACCATTCACGTAGCAGCTTTTGTTGTTACTACCACACACACACCCACACCCTCGCAGCCACGTAGCCACGTAGCCACGTAGCAACAAAAGCTATTTACGCACCCACACCCTTAGCCCACACCCACACGGGAGACTCTGTGTCCGAGCCGAGGCACAATCACTCGCTCTCAGGCGCGCTTTTAATGACTGAGTGCATTTTAATCCAAAAACAGTTTGTAAACTCACGTAAAATGCAATGCAAAATTTATCAGCAAAACCCAGAGAGGGGTAGGGCAGGGGAACGGGGAACGGGGAACGGAGAGTGGCTGAAGAGTTGATGAAAAGTCAGTGATGTGTGCTCTGGTTGCTGGGTGTGCTGCTAATGGCGATGCGAGTGATTCTGGATGGATATGTGTTTGGGCATGGTTTTGGTAAGGGCTTTGGGCTGTAACTGTGTGTGTGTGGATGTGGATGAAAAGAAAACAATATGGGTGTGGAGGACAACCGATAAAGGCACCCACGTGACAGGATATTGGATGCGAGGGATATTACAAGCCGCTTTCACAGTGAAAAATGTACCAAAAAATATTCCATTATAGATATTAAAGCATAAATTATTTTTGTATGCAAAATGTAACTGGATATTGCATTTCTTTTCACAGTTCCCCCCATGCTGTCGATTCCCAATCAGCTTGAGGGCGCCTATGTGGGCCAGGATGTGATACTCGAGTGCCACACGGAGGCCTATCCGGCATCGATCAACTACTGGACAACGGAGCGCGGCGACATGATCATATCGGGTGAGTTAAAGCCTCGACATATGCGAGCACACACGAGTAGAAGCATCAAGTGGAATGTGACGTGACAGATGGGGCTGTAATAAAATGCAATAAAGAAGTTGAACATGGAACTCCTGGCGGGGGGTCGACTGCCAGCCGTTTATTATCTGAAAAGCGTTTGTAAATGAGCTTACAATGTAATCAACATGCAGACCGACGCCTCTGAAACCCACTGGTCCCAGCTTGCCAAGCAGAAAATTGTCATGCGAAAACAGCAACAACAAAAAACCAACAAAATTAAAAGTCCCATCAGAAGGGGAATGTAAAAAACCAGAGTTGAGCTCCTGCAGTTGCTGCAGTTGCAGTTGCGTAGGAGTCCGCGGCTCGATGTTGGGAATGTTGACGTGGCATCCCCTCTTTTTTTATTGTTTTACACTCGAATTTTCTGTCATTTTTGCACTGTCTCTCGCTGCCGCTGCCGCTGCCGCTGCCAGCGGTTGTTCGCCGTTAAATGCGCTGTGTGACGACAGGCTTAAAGCGCACATTTATACTCATCCAGAGACATTGCGGAATTGTGCATCCTTTTGAGTGTTTCGCTCTTTTATTGTGTGAGGTTTTAACAGCTTTCGCTCATGTCGGTCGGTCACTTCATAAGGTTGAAAGCAATCCGAAAAGCTGACTCAAGTCAGGGAATGTCAATGTCATTGTCATTGTCAACGAGTAACCAGAGATCAAAATTTCACTGGGGATTGCCATCTGAAAATGATTTAAATTAAGAATTTGTTAATGCAATTTTTGATTGGTTTAATTTTAATGTTCACTCGATCCGTTCCAAGCTGGTTGCAATTACATTTCTATAGTTTTTCACTTTACAAATGCCAAACGTTTGCTCTTTTCTGGATGTTGTGTTTATGAAACCAAGAACTCTGTTGCGCTGAATTCGAATAATTTGGATTTGATTGAATTAGTAGATGCTGCAGGCATGCAGAAACAAATGGTTTTAATTAACCTCAGAGCTCAGAGAACACAGAACGGGCAGAGCGAAATGCAAAATTAAATATTATCAACGTTGAAATAATCAAAACTAATAAACAACATTTTTGCGCTGATGCGCAGCATTGACAAAGCGAAAATGAAATAAACAAAAATGAATTCACCCACAAACGGAGCCCGAGGACCAGCAGCAAATCGAATAAAACGGAATGGAATGGAGCGAAATGTCAGAAAATATTATTTTGTAGCGGAAATTATTTTAGCATAATCATCCAGACACACAGAGAGAGAGAGAGTGGACAGCGGTAATGGCACAGGCGGGGGGAAATGTGCGTACACGCGTAAAGCGCCTAAAAGCATGCAACACCATGCATTCGCTGCCGCAGCTCATAATTCCCATGCAACGCAGTCAAATTGAAATGGAAAATAATTACCATTGTGCGGGTTCACCTCCTCACCCCGCCCTTTAGCTCTGTGATTGTGTAAATTGTCAGCATTGTATTGGCTCTGAGCTACCCCCAACACACTTTTTGTGTCCCAGACACATTTACAAATCACTCTTTAATCCCAGTCCTCGAATAGATTGATATTTGCGGGTGGCACTCCATCCCCAAACAACTGGGGGAATACATTCTCCACTCCCCTACTCGCACTTGAAACTTGCCGCTGTAATAAGCCCCAAAATCCAATCCAATCCCCAATATAAGCCCACCTGAATGACTCATCGAAAGCAGCTCATACGATGTGTGCATAAAAATTGTGCTAAATATAGATGCGCCTTTGATGGACTGCCATTCGGTTCCCCCTTTTATGCTTAAATGTCACTTTGTTTGTTCGATAAGAGAGCGGAGAGAGGAGACAGGAGACAAGAGACAGGAGGCTTTGGCACATACACAACTCAAATGCCAAATTATGACCAGGCCTTGGATTTCATACCTGGGAAAAACCGAGCCAAGAATATGACATTTCTCATATGCACGCACGCACAGGGCAAAGGCGACAGGACCAAGGCGAGGCGCAGCGAAACGAGTCGAACTGCGCGCTGAGATATGAGAGCTCCGTGGCGGCCATGATGTATGGCTAACAGACACCAAAAGTTTGGGTAATAAATTGTAAGCGCTTTCGCATGGAGTTCTATACGACTAGAAGAGGAGCAGAATAGAGTCAGAGAGCAGCTACAGAAGTAGAGCAACGTCTAGAGATTGCCAAAGACAAAAGGATGCATGAGACTGGAAAATGTTTGCTTCTTCTCTTCCGAATGTGTACTACAGAATCCACAGCTTATACATGAAACATTCATTAATTTTATTGCTTAATGCAAGTTGCAGTCAGGACATGTTTTTCCCAAATAATTGTTGGCATTCTTCCGTTTCTAACTTGACAAACTTCCCTCGCCGGCTGGTTGTCTCCAGCACATGCCATGCATCACTGGTATATGTGTCAGTCGGCAGGACAGCAATTGTACAAGCTGTTCAAGAAACCAAAACTTTCCTTTAATGCGGCTAGGTATTAAAAGTATACAGTTTTTTTGGAAGACAGAACAGGCAGAGCAGAGCAGCGCAGCACAGGAAGAAAGAATTGCTGCCGCCGATGATTATGAGTAAAATTATATATTTGCGTGTCGGATGGACTTCCTTCTACGAAGTATGGTATGCCATGTGGGTCTGGCCTAGGGTAGGGCGTGGAAAAAGTATCACAAAAGGTGACTGGGGCTATAAAAAGAAGTCGCGAGTGCGGTTCACATGCATGTGGAACGCTATATCGAAAATTGTTTTCCCCTTATTGTTTAAGGCTCCGAAAAAGAATGCCAACAGGGAAAAAGAAAGCATGAAAAACTAAAGACATTTGTCACAACACACACACACATGCGACACAGACAAAGGACAACATGACGTATGAGTAACATGCGATATCGCCTTACAATGCGCCAAACAATCAAAGTGAAATTAAGTTTATATATTTAATGCTACTTACAGGCAGCCATTTGATATCATAGTCGTAGTCATAGTCGTAGTCGTAGTCACAGTCCCAGAAAGCAGGCAACACAATACGGAATGAAACGAAACGAAACGAAATTAAAGCCGCAGCCGACAGAGAACAAAAGTTTTCTTTTAGATTTTCACTGATTAATGAGAAAAGTTTTAGTTGGCGATGGCGATGGCAATGGAAATGCTTGAAGAACTGCGCCAGTTTTAATTACACATACACCCAGTTCCCAGAACCCAATGCCCTGTAAAGGGAGGTGGAACACACAGTGGGAAGAAGGCGTAATTAGTTGGGAGTCTCTATTGAGAAGGCGACTTGCTTCACTGCACATAAGCAACCCCAGTCCATGTAGATGACATTAATTAATTGATTTTTTTCTTGCCAAAGAGATTTTTGCAGCTCCTCCAAAGAATACTGAAAAATGTTCACTTTAATTTGTGGCCCGAAGCTAGCTTGAATTTTTCTGCATTTTCCATATTTTCCAGACACATCGCGCGCTGGCGATAAATATGAGACCACATCCACAGTCAGTGGTTACACGAAATATATGAAGTTAAAAATCCGCGCCGTGGGACCCAATGATTTTGGCACCTATCGCTGTGTGGCGAAAAACTCCCTGGGCGAGACCGATGGAAACATCAAGCTGGATGGTGAGAACTATTTTCAACCATTTTACACACATGTACAATGGCAAACTACACTTTGAAATTATATTTTGTCTCTAATTAAGCGACAGAATAATAAGAAATTGTTTTATTGTTTATACAGAGATGCCAACACCAACAACGGCCATTATATCCGAGATGGCAATGCTCAATCGCAGCTATGGTGAGTTGTTCAATAAACATTTAGTTGAATCAACATATTTGGAGTTATTTTCAACTCTCATGCACCAACATATCATGTCGCCTATGACCAGTTCAGAACCGTTTTCTCAACTCCACTTCGTAATTGATTGAATATATCAGCCATAAACATTTACTGCTTGGTCATGAATACATATTTATGATTATAATGCATATTCTCGTAATGAGTTTTTAATTTTATGCACCGCAAAGCACCAACATCATAGTCAGCACTGGTATAATATTCCACACAAGCATAGAGCATTCATATCGATCATTTGACACGAGGTACCCGAGAGACTTCGCTTCTGATTCCTGAATTTAATTCGAGTTTTCACTTAAGAAATGTTTTGAGTACTTTGAAAGCGATAGCAGGCCCATTTGGCACAATGACTGTAATCAACACAAACAGCCGAAAAATGGATGAGAACACCCTCGAACCGCACACAAACAGGACCACACTCCACACACCTCATCCTTGTTATCCACTCCATCAAGTCAAAGTTGCATGCAATTTCTGTGTCCATTTTTTTCCTAGCTTTTGTTGGTTCCGTTTGTTGTGACCCCCCTTTGGGTTTTTGTTGTTGCCTCTTCAGTGTGCTATTAAATGCAAATAAATGCAAAAATTAAATAAAAATACCTTGGCATACAATTACCTTTTGCATCTGTGTGTGTTTACGTATATATAAATTCATTTTTATATGGTTTCTCTTTCTCGGTTCTTTATTTCTGAAAACTTCCCTCCATTTGAATATTTCTTTCATGTTATGCACTACTCCAAACAACCAACAAACCAGCAACCAAACAACCAACAACAACAGTCATTATTCATGTACCGTGTTATCCCAAACTCTCCCTGAACTCTCTCTCTCTCTCTCTTTCTCTCTTTCTCTGTCTCTCCCTGTCTGTCTGTATCTCTCGGTCTCTGTATATCCCTCCTTGACTGACGCTTGCTGCATAAAATTAAAAATATATACAAAATATAAAGATGGCAAGAGACGTCATAGAAATAAATTTGACTCGGCTAACGCTTTGCCTGATTATGGGGTTGAGGAGTGGCGTGACGGTGCACAAGGTAAGTACAAGCTCTAGCTAACTCCTTACCCCTCCACAACCCAAAACATCATCATCTTCCTTCCCCCACCCGTAGCTATCCATCCCAGTCTTAGTGGCATTTATGGTCCGTGCTGCACTTTTTTCTGTTTTTCCTCCCCCACAATTTGCACATTGCCAGGGCCAGGGCAAAGTTTGAGTCCGCTTTGAGTCAGCGTGTTGTACTGTTATCCTTTCATGGATTTCATACTTCAAGTACGTCGCCGTGTGATCTCATAATTTCAATGTTCCTTGGCACCCTTCCCGCCATCACAGTGGCCAAAAAAACTTTTACGGCGAGAATTATATTTCCGCTTCCCTGTTTTGGCCAAGTGTTTAGCCCCAAACGTTGGGAATTAATTAAAAATTTCAGCATTCAGTTTCATTTCGCGCCAAATACCAAATACAAAACGCATTTCATAGCAGGATTCGCTGGACTTATGAAGTGCCATTAGCACGAACGGAAAAGGCAATAAATGCGAATTATAGCAAAAGAACTTTACTTTGGTTAAGCAATAACACAACGTTTGCAAACGGATAAACGGTTATCAATGATATTCTTATAGACTTATAAACTTATCACTCTTGGATCCCATTCTTTTTCCACTAAATAAATTCCCCTACTATAGTGCGCCTTGCACATGCCACAACACATTCTGTGAGTCGTTTAAAATAATTTTTCAACTAGAAATAAATTTAATAAATCCAACATGGCAAATTCCTAAAAGCCACAACAAATTCCGCCAACCACACGGTCGGAGCAAAGCAAAAGAGTAGAGAGAATAAAAAGCGAAACAACATTGGTAAAAACATACAAATAAGGAAAAAGGAAATTTATTTGTATTTTATTCCATTTCCAATTCGAAATGGATGTTAGACATTTTGGGGCATTGCATTTGTCATGTTCTGTGGCTGTTCCCGGTCTGTGTGTTGATCTGTTGATCCCTTTTGTTGGCAGTCTGATAAATATTGCAGCAATAAAAATGCCATCGGGTGGCAAGTGCTCCACGGCAGGAGCAGCACCAGCACCAGCAACAGCAACAATATCAACTCGAGTACAGCAATAGCAACTAGCGACAATGTTGACTGACACTGACATTCTGTCGATGTCAATGACCAACTCGGTCCATGTCCATGTGGCAGCATTTGGGTGGGACACGTGTCCTGTTGCATGCACTTTATGGTTTGTCAAATGTGGCGGCTAAACTCTCTGTCCGGATACGGATACGTCCCCATATTAGTCGGTGGCAAATCCCGGCCACAGGCACCAAATTAACCATGAACATTGGCTTTTCAAATTTTCAGCTGCATGCTCTTGGGGCTGAATTAATCCTCATTGAATCGGCAACCAGAAATATTTTGGTTTCCTTTTTGCTGGCTATGGCTCTGATTCTGGTTCTGGGTTTGTTTTTGTCTGTGTTTATTGCATTTAAAATGCAATTATTTAAGGCACGCGTCCGTAAAATGCCGTTCAACCGACTGCACTAATGAACTGAAGCCAAAATGCTCCAGCGGGGGCGGACTGATGGCTGGGCTTTCGCCAGTCTCCACTGCTCTCCTCTGCTGGCCGGAGCCAGAGCTGGTGCTCTGTCCCTGGCACTGCCTCTGGAGGCATTCGTGCATTGCAAGTGCCCGAAAAAAGGAGAAAAAAAAACAAGGAAGAATGCGGAAAAAACAGATAAAATGCCTGCTCATGGGGGGAGAAGCTAGTAGGGGAGTGAATATGGGTGGAAGTGGAATATGGAACAGTGTGGCAGTGTGGGGGGTCGAGTGGAAAAGGCTTTTCTTATAGTTGTGGGCCGTTGACTTTATTGATTCAACATTGGAGTTTGGTGCCCCAAGCTTCCATGTTTGCCTCTAGGGAAGACGGGGCAGTTTAATGAAGAGACTTGGGCGGAGATGCAGAAGTAGAAGAGAATGCAATTAGGGGATGGAAAATGCTGTTCATTAAGGTTCTGGTTGAAGTGGTTTTCCGTCTAACGGTTAGAGGATGTCACGGCTTCAAAAAGATACTTAAATAATGTTCAATCTGCAAATGATGACCACAAAATGTTAGGAAAATATTTAAGAATAAAAGCAAATGAAGGGGAAACTTCAAACTCTTTCAGTTCCACTCTGGGTCTGTTTACCCATTTCAATTCCGCCAACCAGAATGTGGAAATATTCACACAATAAATATTGATTTCAGCGAGTCGCCGGCTTTTGGGACTAAAAAGGGAACGAGAGCAAATCAAACAGCTTTTGGCATTCAATATTTTATATGAACGCATTCAAAACAAAGGCCCTGCAAAATGTACCCACAAAATCCCCGATGGGAAATGCTTTTTTGATTGATTGTCGATTGGCAGCTCTGACGTTGATTTCTCAACGAATCGTCGCGGCTGATAAATAAAATATCAAAAAGGTACGAAAGACAAAAATAAAAGGAGGGGAGGAATGCCCAAAAGGGAAATATTTATTGCTTGACATCAAATGAAATATGCCATCAAAATTGTCTGTCTGTCTGTGCTCTGACACCTCTTGCAATGTGTCCTCAATCAAGCGTAAATGCGGGCATTGACTTTGGTCTCTGCCTCTCACCTCTAACCGAATCTATCTGTCTTTGTTTTTCCGTTGACAATCAATTGCGTACAGGGTATAGGCATGGGGGAAGCTTTGATAAAACAATCAGAGGGAGCGCTTGATCACACACATGTGGGTCGAAGCTTTGGGGACCTCCGATGGCCCCGGGACATCTGAAGTGTTTAACTTTAGATACTTAATATAATGATTATAGAACAGGCAGTTTCAACTTACCTCTCGCTACGTTCATCCTTGAACAACTACCATTTACGAACTACCATCCTCATTTATGAACAATTCAATTTCAATTTTGGCCCACAGCCAGCAATGGCTCCTCCCCAGCTGACCCACAATGTGCGCATCTATCACTTTATATTTATGACTCTGACTGTTGTGTGAAAAGAACAACAGCAACAACAACAACAGCCAGAGTCAACCGCCCCATAACCGCTACACAACAATCGATTCAGGAGTACCCACGGAATGTGGCTCTTAAAGACCACTTTGTTGTTATTTATGGGGCCAGCTGATGAAAAGCCAAATGCCAAAAGATTAAAAGCAGATAAAATACTACGAGTATATACATATAATAGCTGCTGCACACCCCGCCACAAACCCGTCACAGTGGGACGCCCTCGGGATTCAACTGTGGCAAAAGGGTGAAAAATGGGAACTAGAAACGCAAAAGGATAATGATGGATGGTTGCAATTAGGGAATGATTTTTTAATTTGTAGTTATTATTGCATTCAATATTGTCACCCCCATTCGGGGCCCACTGTAACTCATTCATCAGGCATTGACATGCGGTCAACAAAGTGCGTTCAATGACGTGCATAAAAACCAGCAGAGCCACAGCACTCAATCAGTCGGACAAAGTGGGGTAATGGGAACGGGGACTGGGACCTGAAGATGTCAAAATACGGGCGGTGAAATATTGTCTAGTAATCGCTGTCCAAATGCCCCGAGCAATGCCTTGACGCTATAAAGACGCACAATGACGCTGTAAAACGTAGCAAATATACACAAGGAAAACTCGCTGGGAAGGAGAGAACTGAGGGATGTCAGCACGCAGGATGAAGTCGTCTACTCAGACAAGGGCAGCAGGCGCTAAGTGAAGTCCATAAATATAGCCGTGAAGGATTGAGAATGGCGCTACATGGCTGTACGGTGTGTCCCGCCAGTCGTTGCACCTGTCAAGTGATTGTAAAAGTGAAATATTAAAGTTTCAGACGTGGAGTGTGAGCAAAGAGGGAATAAACAGAGCACAAGGGAACCTATCTTCAGAGAAACACAAAGTAAAATATGGAGAATTGAGTCCTTCTATATACTTCTAGATTTATTCTCCCTCTCATTAAGTTAACCCAACAGACATCTGAAATCGAATGAATCTTTTTAATCCGGGTCATTTCTCTCCTTCTAATCATCAAATGTCAATGGACCAAGTGCCCAAAAGCATATTCAATAAATTAACCAGCAAAGTAACCCCAAAACCAAAGCAAACCAAAGCACACACGATGAACTATCAAGTGCACAGCATACTTTCCGACAGTCAAGAGCAATTTTCTTTAATGCCAGTTACCGTAACCCCAACCAACACCCCAACAACCCATAGCAATCCCCATCTGACCCCAGTCCCCTCGATGATAATGTATCCAATGGCAGTTTGGTGTTCGCCAAACGCACAAAATAAATGAAAATATAAACCCGACTAACCTAAAAACTGATTACTACATGGTCCTGCTTCTGCTTGTGCTTTCGCTTCTCTTTCTCTTTCTGTTTCTGTTTCTCCTCGACAGGCAACCATGCTGGGAACAATGGCGATAACAATCAAACGCCCGTGCGTAATCCGCCTGGAGCATTTCACAATTCTGCAGGCTCACTGGCGCAGCATAATCTACTTGGTAAAATAATGCGCGGCATTAAAACGCAATCATTGGGGATTTTCAAACGTTTATCGAGTTCCATGCCAGCGGCGCTCTGGCTGTCGACGTTATCGCCATCATCGCCGAGTCGCTGGCGTATGAGTAATATGAAAAAAAACCAGCCGCCCACCACACAGGAGACTGTTGTCAACGTTGTCGAGCCAGCTGGATGCTGGGAGATCAGCAAAAGCAACACGACTAAGGGCAGCCGTAGCAGTAGCAGCAGGAGTAGGAGCAGGACAACCACCACCATCAACAGCCTACCATTTTGGGCGTGGCAATTGCGCATATTTCACATTGCTCATACGCCGTGTGTAGCGTCAACAACGCAACATTCGAAATGCCAACGGCAATGGCAGTGGCAGTGGCAATGGCCAATGCTCATTTGCATAGTTATATTGGCTGGCAGCTTTGTTGTGCTCCGCCCGATGCTGCTGCATTTTATCGGCCGCCACATCGGCACATTTTCTATTAGCACGACGCATAGGCAACATTTAATGCTTACATTTGGGGCACTCGCTGGTAATAAGGTTGTCGCCATATACACCGCAGCGACAAGAGCAGCAGCAGCAACAACAATTCCAACAACAGCCACATCCGCAGCCAGGCCAAATACATTTGCACTGCCCTGCCTTCGAAAGTTTTCAAGATGAAATCAAATAATTGCAAAAGCAAAAAGAAACTCATTTGGGGGACAAGAGCAGCTTGAAAAATAAAATCAAACCAGCAGAACGTGGACGTCCCAGCGTAGAGCAGGACGAGAGGAACGATTGAGGCACCACAGATATCTGCAGTTTGTGGTACTCTCAAACAGATCCACATACAGATACAAATATGTTTATGTTAGAGCGTAAAATGAAAATCATGTTAGATGTCAAACGGGCTTCGAGTTGATTGACAGTTGACTGAGGAAGAACTGCAACTCGATTTCCAGTGTCGAGTGTCGATAATGCGGATAAGTAATTATCGAAAAGCGCAGCCAACAGCTCACTTAACTGTCTGAAAGACAGAATAGCATATGTATATGTATATCTGTGTATCCATATTATTAAGGTCAAGCCGTATCTGATTAGTTGATAACATCAAGCTCAATTTATATTCTTCAATTTATGTGATTTTAGTTATATATATTTACATTACTTTAAAGAAAATATCTCTCCGAATATATTTAAAGTTGCAATTTTATTTCATTAGTTCCCATTTTGATTTAATTAATGCTGTTACAAATTTATGCTATGCTGACCATTTTATTTTAAAGTCATTTACATATTTAAGGAATCAGAATGTAATACATGAAAAAGCCAAGCAGATGCGGCAGAGCTGAATGACTACGAAAAATGTTGCGTATTGTAAAAACCATAAATAGATCCAAATAAAAGGAAATAAATTAATTATAGTCAAAAGAAATAATAAAAATAAAACAAACAAAATGTGTGAAAAACGGTTAATCAAATTTGCATTTAGATGAAAGTATTTATGCATAAAAAAAGTACATAGCGAATTTACCTAGTAAATTTAGCCAACGTATAACAAAGGGAAAACCAAAACATGTAAGCCACAAAATAGCAAAGCAAGAAAGTAAAACGAGAAAATATGTAAGTGTTGAATTAAGTCGTTTATTAGATATACGGTTGATGCTACAAATATAAATAAATAAATATATGTAATAGTTTTTCCCATTGATTGTCCTGGAAAAAGGCAGCTGCTAATGATTCGTTTTTATATTGCATTCGATTTGTTTCAATTGCCATTTTTGGAAACAACATAAAAAGCCCATTTAAAATAATATATTGGAAATTTTAGTTTTTTTCCGCATTCATTTCCGTGTTGCTCATGTTAATGGGAGTTTAATTAGTGCACTTTTTGTGCTCCTCTGAATGTAAATATTTCAATAAAAAATAACATTAATGGATATTAAACGAATTTCATGACACTGTACATACATGCAATAAGAGCAAACGTTTCTGTATAAATTCAGACTCCATTTAATTATGCCTAAGACCCTCGACAAGCTCTCTTTAAATTTAAGCCGAAATTGCCACACAATTTGTGCGCTTTAACATTTGTAAATAAATCCAAACACACATTAAAGTATGCAAGTTGAAATGAATGTTAAAATGTTGACAAAATTAAATAAATTTATAAATGTAGAAGCCCCTGAAGCGAACAGCATTGAAAATCCAAAGAAAACTTAAGTGTACGTAAGAAGCTCAGCAGAAACTAAAGAAGGGCAAATCTTTAGTTAGTTATATCATATATAATATAGCATATATGTATATCTATAGATCTATCTATGTGGATAAGTGAGTGCATATCTATGTGACATATTTGTATGTAAATGTATGCAAAAGTTTACAGCAGAAATAAACTAAACAACAAAAAAACAAACCGAAATCAAACCAGATGAATATTAAGGGCAGAGAGGAAGTCCGTAAGTACTAGGGGCAACCTCTGATGTGAGAGTTGGGACTTCTTTTATTCATTTTATACATTCAAAAAAATGATTCTTTAAATGGACATATGCCAGCAGCATTTTTGCGATTCTACGCTCGACCGAACACACAATGCCCCCTCCCTTAGTTGTTCAGCCAACAATTTACCCAAACAACTACGAGAAAAAAAAGGAAGAAGAAAAAGGAGAAAACAAGCAGGCAGCACAATGAGGGAAAACGAGAGTGAAATGCGTAACACATGCACAGCATTTTCTGGGAGAAAAAAAACCAGGCCAAACAGATTTCCCTCTCTTTTTGTTGCGGCACGCTTATAGAAATGGTTGCAGTTTTTACTGCCTCAGCTGTGTCTGTGTGTGTGTGGAAATTGTTGCGGCTGCCATTGAAAAGCTGTCTAGGGGAAATGAGCGAAGTTTCCACGCAATTAGTGCCGGAACGAGCAGCATATTAAATGTAAGACAAGTTGGATTGTTCTACATATATTTATTGTTACATATTTTAGGGATCAACTAATCACTGACTGTACTTACTCTGTGCAATCGGAAACGGTTATATCTGTGTGTCATAGAGTACCTGGTATAAAAAAAACAAGGAATATATGCCTCAAAAAAAGGCACAGATAAAACAGGTGTCGGAAACAAACGGGGGAATCCTACAGCTTTACTCTCGCCTTGCTTTGCTTTGTTTTCGCGCACGGCCTCTGTATATACGTGTGTGTGTGTGGAACGATTCTGGGGACGTATGCAAGTGGAAAATTCAATTTGTAGAAGTGCATAAAAGTAGCAACCGACGAGGCCAGACCCAGACCCTGCAGCGGTGCAGAGGGCCATATGTGGTAGGGTCTGCTCTGAGTATTTGTTGTTAAACAAAAGCATCAGCTACTATTCCACGCCAAGAGGCAGCAGCCAGCCCCCAAGCAGACCCAAGCATCATCTCCATGTCAGTCAGGCCTGGAAGGTGGGGGGGGGGGGGGGGAACAGGAGCTGTTTGCACATGCAACAATAACAACGGCGGCTCGTGAGGATGCCGAGTGGCAAGTGGCATAAACGTGAATGCAGGCGCCAACATTGTAATTAAATCTACGTCAACAGAAAGAGAGGGCAGAAAGGAGTGCGAGAAGAGGGCCAACAAATGCAGACGACACTTTTCTATGCGCTTGTCTCTGGTTGGGATTGTGTTTGTCTTTCTGGCTGTTCACTTGCTGGCCGCAGCAGAGTGCGAGTACGGGGACCAGGCCTCGCGCCTAGCCTCAAGGTGAGTAAAAGTAAAGGCAATGAAACTTCCACCTTGCCACATTCGTGGCTGCATATCTTCAGCTTTACGAGGTAATCGCATATCTCAATGAACTCTGGAATCGGCGGCAATCCTACTCGGTTGACAAACGAAAGTAGTCACTGCCAAATGTAATTTAGCTTTGCACTCGCTCTTATCACAAGCAATTAAAAAGTGTCAAGCGCAGGAGAACACATGAGAGAAGAGACAGAAGATGAACGGAAGTGGAACTTTGCCCTACTTTTTATATGTATTTTGTCAAGTGTAATTGAAAGCTAAATCAGTCACAGCAGAGTCCCCTTTCGATTGTATCGAAGTTTGGGTAGCTCCTCTGCTCTCCTATTTGTGTCTCCCCCTATTCCCAGTGCAAGAAATATGTGTTCTCCCTTGGTAGTTGCCTTTTCACATTCATCTCCCTTGAGTGATGTCAATTTGTATTGGGCGTGCACGCATATTTGAGGCAATTACGACAGATCTGAAGCACATAAATCACGCCTATACGCCCCCCATTGAGCTCGTTCTCCCTGCCTTCCTGACCTGATTTGCCTCGATTAGACAAACGATAAATATTAAATGTTCGCTCTCAAGTGTTTGTTATCCTAAAAGGGTTAAACAACAGCAGCTCAGCGCAGTCCCTCGCAAGCTTATTAAGAGGCAAAATATTTTGACAACGGTCAGGAAGGAGGAGGAGGCTGGTGGTAATTGCCACCGTCATCGTAGACCACAGTTATATGAGTGGAAAACCAACACGAGAACTGAGCACTGAGGACTCGGTCGAGCGTAATGGCCGGATGGAAGGCATAACTTAGCGTTCGCCAGTGTTGACGCTTATATCCTTTGGCGGCCACTTATCATAACGCTTAAGCGTCGTCCATTCGTCTTTTACGCCGACACGCACATGCGCCAGCAATTATGCTAAAAGCGTTAAATTTATAGTTTCCCACACTCGGTTCTGTCGCTCGAGCCTTTGAGAATTTTTAACATGGCTGTCCGTCTGTCCTGTCTGCATTGGCCACTAAATAAATGGCTTTTAGAGCACGCGTTAATGATGTTGATTGTGGCCAAGGGAACTAACACCCGACCACCCCTCCCTCCCTGGCAAACACCCGTGTACCATGACTCTGCGCCAGTCCCAGTCCTGGTCCTCCGCGCCTCCCAGCCGCGTTTCTGCTACGATTCCATGTTTAATGTTTTATAGCAGCTCGAGAGGGGCAGACGGCACGTTCCTGTTCCTGTTCCTGTTGGTCTCTGTCCGGTTTATTTTTATGATGATAGATGGTCTGTGGTCCCGTATTTGCTGTCTCTCTCCCTGCTGCCTGTTGTTAAAAAGGATTTAATGCCATATTTATTAGAGGTGTAAGTGCATACGTGTGTGTGTGCCTGTGTGTGTCTGTGGCATAAAGGTGTTGCAAATGCGGTGGCAGTGCGGCACTCGCTAATGGTTTGCATACTGGTTGCCCCTTAAGTATCTGATAACAAATGGACATTCAAGATCGTTTCGCTGGCAATAAAATAAAGATTAATAGGGAATTTTCTAAATGTAAATTTGAGCATAAGAGCGAGGCAAGAAAGAGAGCAGTTGGTGTGAGCATCAAGCGAGCTGCACCAAAACTAAAACGTTTATCCAATCATACCCAAATTGAATATTAAATAAAAGTTAGCACAACAAAATTTGTACCCTGGGGCCACACATGTATAAGTAAAATTATTATTGCATTTTTCCTCCACTTTAAATACGAATTTTTTGCCTCCAGCTTTATAGGTGCACCTCTTTATGGTTTACATGTAAATTATTTACTAGGCAGCCAATTGATAGGACAAAATAGGGAGAATAATAGGTATAAAGCAACCCATTGTCCTGCAGTAGGTATATTTTTATATATGGCGATCATTTATTCTCCCAACACTGCAAGGGGGGACTGCGAGAGCCGTGGAAAAAACAAAAAATGGTGCACTTAAAATGCAAAGCGAGCATAAAACTGAAACTAAAAATAATAAACTAAAAACAAACAAAAAACACAAAATGGCGAAAGAAAAAAATTAAAGTGTAGGCAGCGAGAGAGCATCGAAAGCTTCACAGATGCCAACACAGAGGCTGAAAGGAACAGCAACGAAACACACAAAATAACAAGAAAAACATTTGCTGCAAAACTCATCACTCAAAGGCTTGGGACCAGGGCCAGGACCAGAACCAGAACCAGAACGGGCCAGTCCAGGCCATTGGCTACCTTCAAGCACCAAACTCCATTCCCGGCCAGGCGGTGCTCTGGAAAAAAAATACCACATAAACAATCCGGATGGGGATGGGTTGAAGGCGGGACTGGAGGCCAACCAGGAAAATGGTTTAAAACTCAATTAAAGTTTTAGCCGCAAAATAAATGCAAAAACGACGACGGCAGCGTCGACAGGAGCAACAAAAAAATAAAATAAAACAAATAACAACGATTTTGGGAATGCACAGAAAACAGATCGCTGATTATTTGGATACACTTTCGCGCTGTACATATGGGCTGAAAAGAACTCATTAACAATTGCTGGCGTTTCTGTCCGAAATATGTGGACAGTCATGATTTTAATAACAGCCTGCAGTTATTATTAATTTTGTGTACTCCCTGTAACGTCTTACAGACATTTAATTAAGTTAAAATGGACACACATTTTGTTGCTTCACACTTTACTTTATACTTTCAATAAAAATATTAATATATATTGTGCTCACAATTATAGCTAATTATATTAATTTCCTCAAGTAAATTTGTAAATCTAACAGTATAACTATATAAAATGTTACAGTTAAAAGTTGTTGTTGCGCATCAGCTAATGGAAGGGAAGGAATTTCCCTATTTGCAATACAATTGCTCAATTTCCTCTGGTTAGGGCAACCAGTGCTCGCATTTTTCCGTTGCAATGAAATGCACAAAGTGCGGGCCATCAGCGCTTGCCACGCCCACAGGCATGCCAGCCTCCCCTCTCGCACTCTTCCTAACCCTGGCACTTTTGATGGCTGTAATTCAAATGAAAATTACACAAATGAATTGAATTTCCGAAAAATGCAGCAGCAGCAACAGCAGCAGCAGTAGAGAAGGAAAAACTTTGATGAGCCTCGAATTTGGTTTGGCTTGGGAATGAGTGTAATGATTGTATGTGGTGGAGGGGGGGTGTACGCTTTGGCATGGGTGATTGTGTGTGTGTGTGTGTTTGTTTGTTTGCGATTAGTTTACGCGCCTCTGGTGGGGCAGGGGCAGTGCCTTTGGCAATGGTTTGGTTGCACCTCGTTTGACTCGTTGTCGATTGGAGTGCAGTTGGACTAACGAGTTGCTCGACGAGTTCGACGAAGTTTGCTGAAAATTTAATGGCGCATTCTTGCCACACGCTGACTGCCCGCCTGCCTGGCCCAAGAGTTTGAATTTGTTTTATTGGAGCGTGAAATCGTGTTTTGTTTTTAATTCTGTTGTGTGTTTTTGCTCGGTCTCGGGTTTGGAAGCAGCAGCAGCAGCAGCAGCGGGCATGCTCAATGGAATGGGAAATCAAATCAAAGTGCCAGAATACGTTTATACCTACCCACAAAACAAGATAGCTGCAGCTCTCCATCAGAAAAATGTGCATATAATATCTGCATCGGCCATCAGCATAGATACAAACGACTGCCAGCTAATTTGAATGCAGAAATGATATTAAATTTAAGGCATTTAAGGTGTTTCACATGCATTCAAATGGAATGAATGGTGTGGAATTGCCCGAAAATGCTGCACCGTATTAATGACTCATTACACATGCCACACAAAATGGGCCACACCAAAACTTTTCGCCACTGCCACAATTTGTGTGGAACGTGAATGTGGCTAAAATGCGGCAAAACATTAAGTTGAATTATGCAATAAAAAGTAATGCAATAATAGTTAAACATGGGCACATGGCCCACAAAAGCTAGCACCAAAAAAATGGAGAATCCGGAAGGGGTTCCTCTGAAACTCATGTGGCACATACACATAAATACAGTGCGTTTCATTGCTGACAGGTATTTAGACCATCAAAAAATGAAAGCATCTTTTGTGTCTTGAATTTGAATGCTCGCTGTCTTATATTTTCGACACGCACTGTACCTATGCATAGTTTTATGTTGTCCAAACACGGCAACAGTTTCTACTTGTTCGCCCAATTTAATTTTGGATTTTATTTTGCTGGCAAAGTCGACTCTCTCGAGCGAAGTCTCTCCAATGTTATGTTAAAGTAAATTTTAAAATGCTGAAGAATGTGTTTTTATTTATTGAGTATACATGAAATAATAATATAGGTATGTAAATTGTAAAATTCGAACACAAACAAGTCCCAATTGGAGGGGTTAAGTATTAAAATAAAATGAGGCACAACAGATCTAGTAACGATACTGAAAACTTGGATCCGAACCATAGACAATGCACCCACATGGATAACCTGTAAGAGGCGTTCAATGAAAGGAGACATGTGGAATCAGTAATACGCATACGTACGGTTGGGTTAATCAATAAAAGACTAATCATCAGTACATATATTTGACATTTATTCATGACACCAACAAAATATATATTAAGTAAGTATAAATGGAATATTTTCACAGTGCTTATGTTAATAAGAAATTCATTCGATTGCAATCAGTAAACACATTAAGTATAATTTTGTTAAAATAATATCGAAACGGCTTAGACTGTGCTTGTGTGTGTGTGGGTGTTCTGGGTCAAGGGCAAGGTATTTGTGGTATCTGTGCCAACACCCGCTCAACCACTAGCCACCAAACAAGGGGAATCGTGTCCAAACTACTTGACCAATGCTGTTTATGGCGACTGTTTGCGTGTCAAATTTGGCGGGCATCAAAGAAAAACATGGTTGAACAACAAATTTAGAAAACATTCGAGTTAATTTTGTACACATATAAAGTTGGGTGGGAGTTAAGGGGGGGGGGGGGGGGGGGGCCTCGCCACGATAAATTCCTTTAGTTACAATGCACAATGGCAAACAAATGTACAGCAATGGACAGACAGCAAAACAACATTCACAAATACAACAAATATTTTAGCTATCGTAGCGCTCAGAAGCCAACACCCAATGGACGAAATTGCAACACTTGAACTTGCCTCGCGGTTTGCACTGCAAGTGCTCTTTGATGTACTGGCAGGGGCACTGAAACTGCCCACAGTGGCGGCCCGGCTCCAGGGGTGTGACGTCCACCAGGCCCCTCAGCGCCTCCATGCCCCAGCGGGAAGCGTAGCGCAGGAACAGCTGCAGACCGCGCTCCTACAGAGAGATCAGGGGTAGATCGGGTAATCAGAAAAACAAGAAGAGTTAACAGATATTGAGATGACAAGTCTGGGGTGAAGGTCGAGTTGGTTAGCAACTTTTGAGTGGAGTGGTAATCGTCATGAATGGTGGGTGGAAGTGGTCATGGTAGTGCGGATTAGTGAAATGCAATAACATAAATGTGCTGCATATTTTCGGGCTGCACTTTTAATTAAACAAAAAAACATAAAACGAAACTGAAACGAAATCAAATCAAATCATAATAAATGAATTACTTAAAAATACAATGAAAATGACAAACTTCATGTTTCATTTGTTTTGCAATTCTGCAATTTAATTCGTTCAAGCTAATCAAAACACGGAAAATTACAATTCTTGTGTGTAAAAATGGGAGATTCCGCTGGCGGCATTCAGAGCCAGCAGCCCATGCAGTTGATGCCACAGCAGTGGCGGTGCTGCAGGCTGATTTTGATTTTATTACGCAACAATTCCTCCTCGTACTGACAGGGGCAGATGGACGACTGCAGGTGCCTGGGCGTTTCGTGGACTCCCGCCTCCTGGACCGTCCAGTCGAGGCGACGACGCAGAAAGTCCTTGCCCCATCGCTGCAGATAGCTAAGGAAGAGCTCCTGGGCAAAGGCCTAGAGAGAGCAGTTAATAATACGGTGAGGTGCATGAGTGACAGCGCGAGAAAGATAGACAGAGGTGGGATCGAGAGAGATTCGGGGAACGATGATGATGAAAGAAGCAACAACTACCTGAATATGCATTTACAAAATTTTCCATCGACTGATTTGCTCACCTGTTTGCGCGGCATCCTCACTGGCTGACTGCCCTGGATGACAATATCGTCCAGATCAATGTCCAGCTTGGCCTCCCAGCCCGCCTTGATGGCCTCGCCGCCGTTCTGCTCCGTGTGCTCCAGGAACTCGTTGAGGAAACTCACGCACTGCGTGGCATCGAAGTACATGAAGCAGAGGTTGACCTTGTGGCACGAGATGCGGCCTCGGTCATCCAGCACCAGGAGTATCTTGTGCCGCATCAGCTGCTTGTTCACCCGGGCCAGACACTTCTCCAGGCCGCGCGACAGCCGCAGTTTCACCCACATGCACAGGAATATGGCCGCCGCATTCAAGAACAGCCAGCCCACGCCCAGTGCGAACAGGGCCACGCCCTGCAGGCCCGAGAACAGCAGTGCCAGCAGCACGGTGAAGGCGAACAGGATCCAGCAGACGAGGATGCGCTTGTAGCAAATATTGTACACCGTGAAGCGGTAATCATTCACCAGCGTCTCCATTGCATTTACATAGTCCTCCACGGTGAGCTGTGGACGAAGATCGAGAGAGATATTAGATGATTGATCGTTCTGCAATTGACTTTGCTCACCGTCAGACCCTGGGCCATCAACTCCTCTGGCACCAGCTCCGGGCGAAATATTGCTGGCGTAATCCATGGCCATTTGGTGTTGGCCGGCAGCAGAGTGACAATCACATCGCCATTCGCTGTGGGATAAAATTGGGGTATCAAAGAAATAGATGTTGGCCCACAGGTACACAGGTCTGCGCCAGGTACTTACCAAATCCCTCACGGATACGACCCGTTGACAGTTCAATTGTGCGCATGCCGGAGCCCTGATCCATGGGTATGCTGGTGCTCCCATGGGACCCGTTGCCGTTGTGGTGGCTGGAGGAAGAGGCTGGTGCCGGGATGGAGGATGCTGAGGCTACAGTTGCTTTTTGGTTTATTAGCTTCTGGGGGTGCCGGGCCGGACTGGAGCCGCTCGCCCCGCTGGCAACGTTGCCACTGACAATGCCACTGCCGGATGCACTCAGATTAACGTGCGTACTCTCAGTTGTCAAAACAGCGGGCGCCACATCCGGCAACGAGGCTGTGGCTGATGCCGGGACTGGAACTGGTACTGGTACTGGAGCTGCAGCTGTTGTCGAGGAAACGGCTGAGCGCTGGGAAAATGGTCAGCAACAATGCGTTAATAGTGGTCTTGGCCTTTGAACATCGTTGGGTCAGCAAGTGGCCGGCCATCCCTCAAAGAGAATTATGCAAATGAGCAAAACGAAAATCAATTTTATTGATTTTTGATTTTACTTTTTAAGCACTGCAGGGCCAAAAGATAATCGGTCATAAAAGGAATCTATAAATCTGGGCACAAAGGCGAGCTGCAAACATCAATTGCAATGAAAATAATTTGTCAATTTGCACGTACGCATTTGAGAGCTCCACGGCCCCTAAATAGATTTGCGAAGGCAATCCAATCCGCTGGCTGCAAAAGGGAGACAGCGCTGCACAGCTGCACAGCTGAATCGTTCAGTGTTTGCTTTTATTCTACAATACTCGCAATATAAAGCTCTCATTAAGACTTTTGCAATAGCAAAAACTTCCAAGCTCTCGGAATCGTTAGAAATTTATCTCTATTGCAAATTTTTTATTTTCAAAAATCTGTAGTTTTTATCTTTTCCGATAAGAAAGATGTTTTAGGGTACATATTTTTAAACATTAATATTTATGCGGACACAAAAAACAAACTACGAAAAGCTGATAAGCTAAGGTAAACAAACTGAAGCCCTGCGAACTACCCAAGAGTCTGCAGCATCTAGTGGATCCACAAACATTGATATAAGTTTAGATAATAAACCGGACTAATTGCAATGTGTCGTGCCCTGAGCATATAGAATCAATTTCATGCCAGAATCTACTCTAAAATATGGCTCAAACTGGGGGGAGATATTGGTTCAGTGGAGAACTTCAAGGCCGGCAACAGACAATGAACACAATTCAAATTAAATCTGGTAGTTTAGTTACCTACACTTTTAATAAAATATATGTATTTGATATGCCAATTTTCACAGTAACACGAAAGTCAACCTTTAGGCTTAACCGGCTGTTAAGGGACTCCAATTGCAAATTGCGAAAAAAATAAATTATACAAATAGTAATATTAAATATTTACTTCAGAGAAACAGCAAAGTAAACAAACGAAAAGGCAACGGTGAAGGTGAAATGTTTTAAGAATCGCTCGTGGAAATGGAATACGAATTGAGTTTATCTTTCGTTATTTTTCTGGGTATGGTATGTGGGACATTCTCGTAGATAAAAAGTTCAGAACTTTCGAGAGAGTTTATTTGTTATTGAAGTGTAATCGGAGCTGAATGAAACGTGGCATTGATTTATAGCTAAAACTCAGTCGTAAGTCTGGCTAAATTTACAGAACAATTCTTCGGAAGTATACATGTAAGCAGCTACTGTGACGTGTCCACCTAACTACCGAAACCCAATACAATCATGAGTACATCGAGCCAGAGTTTATCCGCGGATGAAGCTCAGCTCCCCTCAGCCTGGGCCTGCTACACTCGGCAGAACCTCATTTGTCATGCGAGAAACGTTCCCGAAGTAAACTCAAAAGAGAGTTTGAAAATACAAAAAACAACTTTTCATAACAACTCCATTAAGCGGGGACAGTTAAAGCACAGTAGTTACTGGGGGGCAGGGAACCGTTACGCTCATCATTATTTTCAATTATTTTCAACTATTTCTAGTTAGATTTGTCTAATAAATTTATTTTGAGTGAAAATGCAAAACACTTATAAGAACACCTAAGTTCTGTCTTACAGAGAGTTCACTGTACCAACCCTGTTTGAATCTGTTTGTGCGTGAAGGAGGAGGGGCAGTAGGGCCAAATGTGCATTGGAATGCGTTCCGTTGCGTTTGGGTCACCCGCACGCGAATGGAACAGGGAGAGACACAGAGAGCAAGAGAGCCAGAGTTAAGTGGGAGAGAGACTGTGGAGAGAGCTACCTACCTGGACAGGTGTTGTTGTTGTTGGTGTTGTCGATTGCTCATTCGGACTGCGCGAGCGCGCCCGCCTGTTGTTGTTGCTGCTCACAACCGACGGTGGCGGCGGCAGAGCTAACTTGTTTTGCCGCTGCTGCGGCTGTGGCGGCTGCTGCTGCTGTTCTTGTTGTTGTGTGGCATCGCTGCCGTTACTGTTATTATTTTTTTCACCGCCATCTCCCTCATCATCGAATTTAACCCAATTTTTGGGCGTCTGTTTGTCGTCATCATTCTCATTTAGGGAAACATCTTCCAAAGGATGGGTTTGCTGCTGCTGCGGCTGCGACTGCGCCTTGGAGTCGTCCATTTGGAATACAAATATCTCCAGGTGGTTGGGTGGTGCGGGGGACAAAGCGCGTGCCTTGAATTATTGACAAACGTGTGTGTGGCCTGGCCTGGGCAATGCAGCAGTGTTTTGTTTTCGCGTTTTTATGGCCTGACGCTTACATAACCTCAATATCAATTCACACCTGAGTTGCTGCTGTTGCTGCTGCTGCTTATTGTCGTCTGTTTCTCTTACACTTTCGTTCACACTGCACAACGCGCCGCTTACGTGTTGGCCGCTCGCCCGTTCACGTCGCACTGCGGCGGCACACCCAGCAACAAAAAACACTCACACTAAAATTATTCAGAGCCAAAAGCTTGACTCGGCTCAAGCTGGCTTAAAGGCGCGCTCTGGCTTGTGTTGGTGGTGGGGCTCTGACGTGTTTCGTTCTCAAGCGTTCCCGCTTCGCGTACTGTAAGCTCTGGCCACAACAGCAAAACTGCGCGCTCACCTGTTGCGGTCCCCCAAGCTTTCTCTCAAAATCTTTATCTAGCTCGTTCGCTCTCCCACTCTTCATAGATTCATTCATTAGAGTATATGTTGGTATACCCTTGGAACGAGAAGGTTGTATGTCTTTAGCCGCATATTTGCAAAGAATGGAAGCAAATATTTGCTAAAATAAAGTAGAAACTTCTACAGTTAAGTGTTTGCCAATCCGACCCCTACTTAATAGCTGAGCTACATTTATTATAAAACATCAAATATTACCCTAAAAATGCAGGGTATATAATACTTCGTCAAACAAAACTCACAATTTTCCCCTTCTTTAAGTTTCTGTTTATTTTCTTTTCTTTTTGTTTTGCTCACATGACAAGTTTTTTTGTCTTTCGATTATTTGTATCTTCCTCCTCTCCCACTTGCATCTCCCACTCTATTTCTGTGACTCACAATTTGTTTTGCTGTCTGCTGTTCGTTTTTCCCCTGTTTAACGATCACGTTTTTTATCTTTGCATTCATTCGTTTGCTTGTTTGAAGATCTCCCGCAATACAGAATATTTCGCAAAAGAGAGCAGCGTGCATCGTGCATGTTTACAAACACCTCCATCCGCAATAAACTCCAACAGCTACGCCGTCTCCAATTGCAAAACCAATAAGCACTTCTTATCAGCAGCGCCAATGGCAGCCTGAACCTGAGGTATCAGTCAGATATTATTTGTGCAACATTTCAGCTAATGCGAGAGTTAGTAAATCATCCAGTTAAATTGTAGAATAAATTTGCAGGGCTTGTGCATTATTTATGGCATTTTTATTTAAATACACTGGCTGTAATCATATGAAAAATAATTTTAAATTTAGTTAATTTGAGAATAATATACGAAACCTTTCTCTGGTTACTTTAACTGTGAAATTCCTTTGGTAAAAATCATTGCTGGTTCGCTCTTTAGCTAGAAAACATTTGCAAAGCTATAAAAATATGTGCTACATTTGTATCGGGGGAAATTCCAAAACGAAGAATGCAATTTAAAATCAATTTGACGTTTGTTATGCCATTCACTGGGGTGTGGTTGGTCGGTCCGATCGGCTGCTGTTTTCCATGTTCCCCTTTCGATAAGCGGAAAGGAGGAAATTTATGGCCACGGCGGATGGTAGAGGCGGATGGCTACGGCTGGACCGCATAGTTTACGCCTGGACGGAGCAACCGACATTTTTTGGCTTGAATAAAATGTAAAATGCAGGGGCCCACAACATTATAGTGGCAATTGTTCGACTGGGCAGCCACAGAAAACTTTTCTGCCCATAAATTATGCTGCGAAATTATTATATAAGCGGCCAGTGTCGATGCCAAAGAAATTGGCCCCAGGCCAACACATACCCAAGAGATATAGGCACATTGGACAGAGGGGAAAGCAGCAAGAGAAGGAGAGCAGTGTGCCAACTATCGGGAAAAGTTGTTAAGCAAATAACGGCCAGGCACCAAGGAGGCATTTGAAACTGTTACGCTCAAGTTGTGGGCTGGTTGTGGGGAGTCCAGGAATGGAAATAATGCTGCAAGTTGGTGCTTCAGATGGTCATCGCTGAAGGAAAACAATCTTCTGTTGTTAAGCCCTTCATCGATCATGGTCAATACTTCAATAATACATTAGGCAAAGACCGAGAATTACAATTATTCATAGCATTGTCTACTAGGATTTGCAAACCCAAGTACATTCAAGAATAACGCCAGGAGTTGTATGGATTTAATTATATTATTTCCCTTTACACAGACTGCGTTAACTCGGTTTGATCAAAGCTCATTCACCTCCTATTTTGATTCCCCACAACTTTTATGTACAATAAGTCATTTCCATTAAGCCATAAATCGCTCAACAGCCCGAAAATCCTTTGTGCCACGACAAACTTTGCTTCAAGTCTAAGGCAAGCCACAAAAATTGCAACCTCAGCCGATGGACGGAGAGGCTGAATGGGTGGGTGGAGAGTCAGTCCGTCAGGCAGGCAGCCAAGAGTCTAATTAGGCCAAATTAATTGCCTGCGCTTTTGACACTTGCAAAGACTGAGCCGGCCCATCCCAACGTAGAGTCAACAAGACAGCTGCCGGGACCGCAACCAAGTACAACACTCAAAAGTCTATTTGCAAGCAACCGCCAACCGGCTCTCTTAGATCCCCCACACCACTCGGGGAAAGAGTAATGTTGGCAATTTGTTGGTCGTCGTCTTATTAACCCGCAACAGGAGACAGAAGACAGAAGACAGGAGACTGGAGACGGAGACCAAGAAGTTGGCGGCAACTTTTTGGCCAGCGCGAAGAGTGTCCAACGGGCATATAAATTAGCTGATACAGAAGTTTCTTGCCTCCACTGCCACTTGCCTCTCTGAGAAGGCGGGCAAAGTTTTGGCATCAAAAAATGTTTTCAAATTAAGCTAATTTATATTATATAAACACGCTTAATGAGTGCCCTGTGAAGGAGGATGGTCCATGGCTAGCCCCGGCCCCATAAGTTGTATGAAAAGCAAAGACAAAACAAACATATTTCTCCTGGCATGCTGAACATTTTGATTTGCCTCGTCCACCTTTCAAGTCCCTTTGAAAATGGCAAAAGTTTTGCCAACACCCCATTCGCGTTGCTGTTGTTGCTGTTGTTTTTGCTGTTGCTTTTCCTTCACAGTTGGCTGGTGAAATTAACGTGACTTGCATAACGCCCCAAGGCATGCAACGCGGCTGTAAAGTGTCGCCATCATGCCCACCATTGGCATTTTGGGGCAGAGCTGTGCAGAGCTGTGTACAGAGCAGTCCTTTTTGCTCCTTAGCGCTTCTTTGGCACCAGAACTTCTCCGGCTGCTGGCCTGGCCTGGCTGTGAAAATAAAAACAAAATGCAACTGGGGAAACGTGTCACAAACTTTATGCCCCTGCCACGCGTCACGCACGCGATTTTCGCTTAGTTGTTTGTCACTTTGTCGCCGCCTTTCTCCGTACCTCTATCTGCCGCCCTCCCACTGCTGGGAGTCCTAAGAAAAATCGCACTGGAAAGTAAGTGAGTTGCCGTTCCCGAAGCGAAGCAGCAGCAGCATAAATTAGTGTGCCGAGATTTGAACCGAATCGGAGCGGGAGTACCAAGCGGGAGTAATGCAGCTGCAATTTCAGCTCCAAGTAAAGTTTTCATAGGAAAAGGAAGTGCAGAAACGTGGCTAATATTACGAACAAAATCCCATGCAATGCATCGAGTAACAGCTCTTTGAAATAGGATAAGTTTGTAATTTAAATGGAGAGACTTGCTGGCTGGCTGATTACCACAGTCAAAGTCAGAAATGTACCTTCATTGAATGTTTAATTAAAGCGGAATACTTAGAAAGGTAGCCACAGGTAGCAATAATCATGGCAAAGCCCCTCAAGGCGACCAATCTATTCCGCAATCCCACATTTGCTCGTCCACCGGAGCAAATGGAAATGATAACAGATTTTGCTATTTATTTGCCGTCTTATTACGTCAAGAATATTGCATATGAAATATAATTGGAAATATATAATGTCTATTCGAGCGGTGATTCCCCTCTGGAGTCGCATTTAAATGAAAATTATTGCTTCATTTGGTGAACTATGGCATTTCCATCTGTCCACTGCAAACTGTTGCCGCACTCGAAAACCACTCGAGTTCATAATAATTTACAACATGTTGCAACAGCAACCACAGGTACACGCAGGTGGGGAGTCCTCAGAGCCTCAGCCACATGCCTGGCTCTGGGTAACAATGGAACTGACACCACAACGAGCCAGTCCAGGTCGGTCGACCAGGCATGTGGCTAGAGTCCGGGCTCTTGCTCCCTGCCCTAACTGTTGTTGGCACATGTCACCTTTCATAAAACATAAAATCACTTTGGGGCTTGCGCCAGTGCTTGTGCTTGTGTGTGCCACTTCACACTGTGAGCACAACTGGCCAAGACGAATGCGGCCAACACAAGGCTCTGAATTGTCTTGGAAGAGACATCAAGAGTCCCGAAGTGGGCCAATACCCGCACTCGAAAATTGAAACCTTTAAATGCGAGAGCGGCTCGTAGATGTCCTGGCCATGTAACTGACCGCCAAGTGGCTATAATTTGACAGAGGTGCTACTAGTAGATGACACCTTGAATGGGAGAATTAGAAAATAACAGAAAATAAAAAGAAACATTTCAACAGGGGAAATATCTATGAAAGATATTCTGCAAATGTTACAACAGCCACTTCAGTGTAAATCATTAAAATAATTTAACTAAAGAAGGGAATGAGACTGGTTGTGGGACTGGAAGGTTCTTAGGCCACACAGCTGGACCTCTTTAGACGAGCCACGAGCCAGCACCAAATGCATTTAAGTAGAAAATCTTGCCAAAAAAGAAGAAAATATGAGGATGAAGCAAGCCAGACAAGGACATTGCCATGATTTAGGGGTGCTTAAACGGTTCTGTTCTGCAGACTCTCCTCCACTCTCTCTCCACGCACTTTAAGTCGCTGCGTTGGAACTTTTTCTTTGGTGTCTCACAAGAGACAAGAAGGAAGGAAAAATGTAGTTTACTTTATTTAAAAAAAAACCCGTTGCAACAACTTTGCCTTGCCGCAGACCAAATCAGCTGCAAGCTGACCAAATAAAAACCCCCGCAACTCGCAGCACAAATAAAATCATATTTAAAACTTTCGCACGATGGTGCAAAAAAAAAGGAAACGAAAAGAAACGAGCAGAAATATGGAAAAGTAGCAAAAACTTGCCGCATTTCCATAACAAAACTTTCGCGTTAAAAAACAGAAAAGTGTTTTGTGCTGCTCCTCGACACAACAAGAACAGAAGAGCTGCAAAAAATGTATGCAGAGTGGCCTGAACTAAACTTTTATTAAATTGGAAATATTTATCAACATTCATAAGCCAAAGCGCACCACAAGAAAAACAGCTTTAGATGCTTGAATGCGCATAATGGAATTTCGTAATAAATTTAAAACTCTCAATTAACCCAAGATCTTTAGTTAGTCATCCTTTGTCAGCAATGAAGAAATATCAGA